TTTATTAGACCAGCTAAAAAATAGCAAACCGCCCCCCCAACCCCCTCCCCCCCCAAATGTTGGTCTAATAAAAGGTATTACCTCAGAACCAAGGGTTTTAGAGATTTGTATTTATTTTTGTCTCAGACCAACACAGCTACAAAATAGATCCCTGATACATGGAAGATATTGTATTTTAGCCACTTTTGGGGAAAAAAATAAATTTCATTGCTAAGCAAGAAAGAAAGATTTTTGTACCTTTCTGCCTGTTTTTGACATCTGACACCTCCAGGGATGATCAGCCTTATCTGCACATAAAAGAGCAACTCACACAAAGACTCTCAGGGACCCAGGGGAACATACATCCAGCCTCAGCTTCCCCTGTGCAAAATGACGTTTATTTTCTACCTAAGAGGATTTTTACAATCTTTGATTTCTCCTCAGCCTGAAGAAGGGGGCGTGTGCCCAAAAGCTTGCAAAGAAAGTCATGTTTTGCTATTTTTAGTGGATCTAATAAAAGGTATCACCTCTGAACCAAGGGTTTTAGAGTTTTGTATTTATTTTTGTCTCAGACCAGCATGGCTACAAAATAGATCCTTGAGACCTAGATTCTAGCATTTCTCAGCCCAGTGTGGGTAAACACCCCTGTTGCCTTGCAGAAAGCATGCTGTAATGGCAAATCTATGTGTACAGTTGGTTTTCTTCACTACCTGTCTTGAAGCTATACCTCTGTACAGCCAATGCATCAAGATTAATGGGAGCAGATAGATAGCAAACAAGAAGGAACCTAGTTCTGTGGTTTAGTAGGCTGGGCTCTTTACTGGGAAGAAAGAATCCTGGTTTCTGGTTATACTGCCAGGCCTGTTTCTGTATGTTATCTGTTTAAAGGAAAAAGTAGGAATCGTGTTGGGAGCTAGGACTCTCTTGCTCACCTGAGTTTCCAAACCACTGGATGCAGTGGCATAGCTCTGAACTCACTGTGGTGCCATGAGCATATAATCAGTAATGTGTGTGAAATGTAGATACAGTGATGTGGGGCATGTAAAAAGGCACTTGAAAAGTTCAACATGGTAGTGTGAAATTTTGAACAGCCTATTGATTACAGGCAGTTCTCGACTTAAGAAGTTTTGAGTCACAATGAATGGCACTTACAACATTTATAAACTGATACCCTGTTTCAACTTCCTGACTCAAGTTTCAACTTTATGACACTTGATCCAATGCAATGCCATGCCAGTGAACAAGCTCAGTGCGTTGCTCATCTCCCTGAATAACATCTGGCCAAACTTCCATGGACACTTTCTTTAAGAACGCAGACAAGACTCCAGAAAAACCTGCAGCCAAGACTCCTGAGAAGACTCCATCCAAGAACCCTTCCAAAAATCCAACCAACAGCCCTTCAAAAAGTCCAGAAAAGTCACCTCAAAGAAATCCTTCCAAATCAATATGATTGCTATTTACAATATAAATACATTAATATAGCTATATTACTCATCTATAATTGACTGAATACAAAATTTTGGGTTATTTTTGGTGAAAATTGCATATTTGGACTTAGTTCAGGAGCCAATCCCCCATTTATAACATTGTTCCTATGAGAAAATCGGTTCCAAGTTACGACGTTTTGACTTAAGATGCAGTTTTCAGGAACCAATTGTGTCATAAGTCTGAGGACTGCCTATACCTAAATTTGAAAACTGAGCAAATAGTTATGACCAAAATGTGTACAGATAGGTTTTGTGTCTTGTATATGAAGCACACTCATGATCATATTAAATCTGGAGGGATATAGTATCAGACTTAACTAATTTAGGTTAAATCGTTTAATTGAACTTCTGTCTCAGATCCCCTCCAGATTCAAGTTAGCTCACAGCACCCCAGCATCCCAGGGTGCTCTGCACTTCCCTTGCAAACCCCCTCTCTGGGTGAGTGGGCTAGCCTTGGCCCAAGCTGTCTGTTCCAGCCCAACCAGGAGGCATGCTCTAGTGCCCTCCAGCTGCTGGCCTAGCCACTGCAGGCATGTCACTGCATTTCCAGGATCAAAAGTGAATGTGTATTTACTTGCTTATGGTTCAGTCTACACAGCTTAGACTAACCTACAAAGATTGAATTGATTCAGCCTCAGGTTTTTTGACTGTACTTAGCCCATATATCCATTCTATTTTGGTTCTACTCTTTCATTAGTTGTTTGTGACTCAGCAAGCCTCCTCAGTTGCCCCTAGACAGAAGAGCAAGTTCCCTTTAAGATTGAGGTGCACTGGGAATATTTTTTTCACAAAAGTCCAGCACTTGTGAAAGTCCAGTCTTCAATAGTTTTGGAAGAAGGAGAGATTTTAAAACATGGAAGCTAGGCTGGGGATTGATTTGTTTTTATTTGATCCATGCTTTTGACCTTTATGTTTATTATGTTTCCATTTTATATCGTTTGATTACTAATACATACAAATTGCTTTGTAATCTCTCTGAACAAGAGATTGTGTTTCTTAGGCAGGCGCTCAAGAGATTCATTTCATTGCCACTCCCATAGATAGCCAAAAAATGTTTCTGTTGATTATTGAACTCATAGCACAGTGTAACTGCATTGAATTTTCTGATCTTCTAGGGCAAATTTACACTGGTGCAGAATGATTCAGTGCAGTCTTGAACTCTGTGAAGCATATAGCATCTGCAACTTAAAATACTTTTGGCTTAAGAAAGACTCATGAGACATCATCCTTTTAGGAGCATTTATATGTTTCCCCTTATGTTTCATTCTGGAAAAAAAAAGCCCTTCCTAATAGGTTTTCCAAATATAATCTCTTTCTTTTCTCAGTATTCATTGCATTTTTACCTTGATTTGTATTCTGAAACAATAAAATGGAAGTGTGTGGTGGGAGGAGGGGGAAGAAGTATTGCTTTGTTTACTTGATATTGGTTTTGACCACAATGGGAAATTTATATTTTCAGAAGCTTAATATTCATGAAAAAGAAAGCTACGTGTTTTGCTTTTCCTGTTGTAACAATTGATTTAATCTCTGTCTGTTTTTTTTAAGGAAAACCAAATTTAATTTTTAGATAGCATATAACCCTGTGGAGGCTTGCTAGCAAGTAATTTTCTATTATGGGCACTATAATGTTTACTAATACTGTAGAGATCCAGCTCACTTTTTCTATTTTCCCCATTTCCCCCCCACAGGATTGTTCACCAGAATATATCATTTCCCTAGGGAAAAAAATCCTAATGCAGTAAACCTAGAAAGGAATGGCTCTTTCCTCTATAAACCCATTGTTATTGGCTCAACAGGAGAAAAAGTGGGTAGCAGTGGAAGAAGGGAGGGGGAGAAGGGAGGGAAGTATAATGAGATATGACATTGTCTCTGCAAAACACCATGGGCTCAGATCACTGCTGTATTACTGAAGTTTTGCACCAATGCACTGATTAATCTCAACTGAATTACACTGATATGCAACTAGAATAAGGAACAGGTGAGTCAGGGTCTTTGAATTAAAGGATAAAGTGTGCGAACAAGTGTCTGAATTGCCCAACTCGAGGTATGTAGCTTATTTTGAGCTGCCTAAACCTGAGTTAGGTTCTGTCACATGCAGGCACTTGCTTGGGCAGCCAGAGGTAAGTTAGTCTGGAGGTAGAAGGGGCCAATGGGATCAGGGGTGCTGGTGAATCTACGGGAGGAGCTGGGGGTATATGGGGGTGGGTAGTGGGTCTGGGAGGAGATTGTTTGGTGGAGGGACAGTTAAAAAAGCACAGCCCCAAGGGCTGTAACCAGTCTCAAGGCTGTGCAGTGAACGTGTACAGGTATTTCTTAGGCCAGGTTAACCCATTTTAGATTGACTTATTCAGGCTTACTTGGGAGGTAAATTGGCTTAGCTTGGGTGCACCATTTTTAGGACTTTTAAACCCCTAACCATCTGCAGAACTGGACATTTAGTTTGATTTAACCTTGGTGAGTCAAGGTCTTTGAATTAAAGAAGTGAAGTAGACCCTGCTTATAGACTACACAGCAAATAGTAAATCCTAGCTCACTCAGGGCTTTTATTTAAGTGCATTCTTCAAATTATAGTCCTTAAAATGTAAGTACAAATGATTAGAGCATTAGGTGGCACCTCTTTATCAGATGTAAATACAGCAGGTTTATTTCAACCCTCTCCTTCCCTTACCCCCATCATTGTTGTCACCACTTTTACAGTAGTCAGGCTCTGGACATTTTACAAGTTTTTTCACAGCTATCCTATTAGTATCAGCAGATGATTCCTAAGGCATAAGGAAGAGAAAGGGCATTGACTGATACACTAAAAAAAATTATCACTGTAAAATCTTACTACACAATTATTTAAGAGCCTTCTTCACTGAGATGGGGAGTCATCAAGGCTACAAATTATGCTGGATGGGTGGCAGGAAAACTGAATAAAGGCTATATACAGCTGCAATCTCTAACTGGCGTTCCTGAAAACTTTTATATTAAAAAAAAATCAGTGCTGTCATATTTTAAAGCTAAAGGGCTTACATCCAATGATGGTTTGACCATGGCTTAATTTTGCTTGTTAATAAGGAAATTAAATTAACAAAATAAAAACTTGTATAAGTGGAATATGACCATTTCCCCCCTGACAATCTGAATGTCCTCTTCCTTCTTGCAAATGTGTTCATGAAAGCTCTCCATTTGCCTCTAAAATTTAAATGACGCCTAATTAGAAAGTGTTCATTAGAAATTTTCTCTACACTTCCCAGAGACAAGCCTATGAGCTCCATTTCATCAACCTGCTGGATACTAGAGATCAGGGACTAAACATAGTCATTGGATTTTTGATACATTACAATCTGCCTGGCAACTGACTCCCCAGCCCAGCCCCTGGCTTCTTTACTTTTCATTCCATCCAGGAAGAGCACACACCAACTGCTGCAGCTTCCTTAGCCTGACGAAGGGTTTTTGAACCCGAAAGCTTGCTTAATAACTATTCTCCAACCATTTGGGTTGGTCTAATAAAAGATATCAAATTCACCCAAGGAACCTTGTCTGCCTATATCCTTAGACCAACACTGCTACAACCTAAACCCCTGCAACATGGAAGATACCGAATTCAGCCGTCTGAAATGGAAACTGTACAACATGAAAAAGAAAGAAGCCAGACTCAACAGCGACATATATTTTCTAAGCCTTTGCAAGAAACACAACTTCATTCCCCGAGGACTAAACATCTACAATCCCCTGACTACTACACACAACTCCAAATATGCTGCACAGCTATGCAGAAGAACTTCAGAGAAAATTAGAAATCATCTACTTCACCTACTCTACTCCAAAAGAGACCAACTCAGGAAGGAAATCGTCATACACTACAACAACTTAAAAGATAGAAAGCCATGCATGTGCCCTGACAATATACAGCTGATACAAAGAGACTACGAAAAACTTTCTACAGCATTCATCCTACATAAAAAGAAGAAATGGAACAAATTACTCCAAGAACAAGCTCCCCAGTCACAAAACAACCATCAGAGGAACAACACCAACACCGTACAACCTTCCAACCTCAGACTCGATGAAACTGCAAGCAGCAACCAACCCACAAATATTATCAATCTCTCCACACACACGCTTACCAAAACTGAAAAATCTGTCCTTTCTAAAGGCCTAAATTTCTGTCCAGAAAAACACCCTAATAAAATACTTCAAGGTGGAGAACTAGAAGAATTCGTCCGACACCTGCGCCTCAAAGAGTATTTCCACGACCAAACTGAACCCACTCCCAACAACAACTCATCCTCTGACAACATTCAAGCAAAGATCAATGCCAAAAAACCCAAAAAAACATCAGATTGGACACCTCGCAGTGGACGAAACCCTAACCTTGACCGCTACATTGACTACTTCAGGGAAAGAATGAACAATGAAATAATCAGCAACACGCACCACCACAACAACCTCTCTCTACCAGAGAAAAAGGCCATAGAATCTCTAAGATCTAAAGGATTCTGAGTTTTTCTCCTTAAAATGAGAAAATCTGAGTTTTACCACGTTTTTACATGGCAAACAGAAAAAGCCAGATCTCTGATAATTAGTCTACTCCACAGTTAAACACCTACATAGACGTGGCCAGTTATAGCAGGATTACTCTGTTAACTTCCAAGAAGTCACCCCAGTGTACCATGGAATAACCAAAAGCAAATTTTAGCTCACCTGCTCTAACTAATGATTGGTCTTGGGGTGTTGTTGAAGGAAAAATGTAGCAGCTTACATGGGCCTGCTCCTGCTAGAATAGAAAAATATGTGAAGAAAGTGGGAATTGAAGGTACAGAGAACTACTTTCATTATCTGGAACCCAAAATGAAGACCCAGCTTCTAACAATATAATAAAACTAATCATACATTTTAAAAATAGATGCAGTGCAAGTTGCAGTTAGATAATATCTTAATTACATTTCTTTTAAATCAAATGTCTTTCCTTTCCAGGTATTGAAGTACACTAATAAATGTGATGAAAATGTTTTTGTACCAACTGAAAAAATGGTGGTCAACTTCATCACCATTAATATTGTGGATGAGAACAAGGCTTCTCAGGAAACCATTAACTTAATGGGCAGGAGCAGCTGCAAATACTATAACATCCAGGATGAAAACAGACATGATAATAAACCTCCAAAGGAAGGGTTGCTCTTGAAACACTTGGTTGATTCTTCTGAAGGAGTAAAAATTTTACCCAACTGTGACCAAGATGGGAACTGGCCATGCCAAGGCCAAGTTGGCAACCACTGTACTTTGGGTCAAAGAAATGAAGAGGTCATAGAATATGAATGTGATGTGAGGCCTGCTGACCTCTTTTCTATGCAGAAACTGGAGGATCTCAGTGTGAAAGTGAAATCTTCTGCACTAGGGGAACTGCTAAATAAGCCCCAGATTACATTGGATGACTTGGACCTTGATAAAATAAAACTGCCATACTGTCCCCAACTTAATGAAAGGACTACAGACACTTGTTCAGTGCAGATATTAAAAGAACTCAAATGTAATACACCAGAGGAGCTATCCCCTGAGACAGCAACTGAGCTGCTAAACTTGGGCACTGAAAAATCAGGACAATTACCATTTCCTCACTTAAGTACAATAAGCCAGGGCCCCCAGGACCCAATGGTGATAGAGGATGTAAAAAAGGAAGATGAACAGACTATATTAGTAGACTGGGATCCTCATACTGGAAAACTGTATATATCTAGTTTGTCCAATTTTGAAAGTGATGCTTGTGAAGAAATATTTGAACATGAAAAGTGTGATGATCCAGCAAAAGAGGGGCTTTTGTCCAGACTGTATGAGAGGCAGGTATCTGATGAGCCCTCAGAGGACCAAGAAATATACCTCCAAAAATTTAAGGAACAATGGGGACTGCATGTAAAAATGGAAGACTGAGAAGAGTCTTTAAAGATCTTCCTATGAGCTCCATTTCATCAACCTGCTGGATACTAGAGATCAGGGACTAAACATAGACATTGGATTTTTGATACATTACAATCTGCCAGGCAACTGACTCCCCAGCCCAGCCCAGCCCCTGTCTTGTTTACTTTTCATTCCATCCAGGAAGAGCACACAGCAACTGCTGAAGCTTCCTTAGCCTGACGGAGGGTTTTTGAACCTGAAAGCTTGCTTAATAACTATTATCCAACCATTTGGGTTGGTCTAATAAAAGATATCAAATTCACCCAAGGAACCTTCACTGCCTATATCCTTAGACCAACACGGCTACAACCTAAACCCCTGTGTGCACATGTAACATTGAAGCTTGAGGTGTTTGTATTTGATCCTTTATATACTTCTACATGATTTTCACTATAAAGAAGTGCACTCAAATTATCAAGGGGAGAAGGAAATAGACCATTTAAGCAGGA